CTAAGGCACTTGACTGCTAACCAGAAGGCTGGCAGTTCAAACCCACCAGCCACTCCTCAGAAGGAAGGTTGGGCATTCCTACTTCCGTGGTGATACTGCGGAAACCCAAGGAGGGGTCGCTATGAGTTGGGGCCGACTCGATGGCAAACAACAACAACAACAACAGAAGGTTGTGGAAACAGGTCTTCAAGAAAATAAAGTTGATAGAATGCCATGTCTGAAAATCTTAATGAGATAGCTCAAGATAGTAGAATTAGGGTTTATGAATGGTAAGTAATGATTCTAAATCATAGCAATCCCTCCTTGGGTTTCTGAGGTGTTATCTCCATAGAAGAAGACTGCCCAGTCTTCCTTCAGAGGAGTCACTGGTGGGTCTGAACCTCCTGCCTTCTGGTGAGCAGTCAAACGCCTTAGGCACTACACCACCAGAGCTCCCTTAGTAAAACTAGCAAACAGAAAATGAAATAATTGTTAACAACAGGGGCAAAAGTTGTGCAAGAAAAAGGATCATGGTTAATATTTGTTTTGTTACAAGTTTTATTCATCCATAATTATGTAAATGCTGAATACTAATCTAACCAAGTTATGTCTGTACTGGGAGAACAGCAGGATAGGAAAGGTTCAGTGTACAATGAGAAAAAGAAGAGTGGATGGTAGAAAAGACAAATATTCATTCATGTTTGGAAGTACAACAGAAGCATTTTATTTATAGCTAAAGAGTCAAAGAACAAAAGAACCTACCAGACGAAGTCAAAAGTGACTGTCCCTGTTCTGGCTACCTAGTACCGCTCTGACAAGAATATACCACAAATGGGATGGCTTTAACAAACAGGAGTTTATTCACTTACAGTTTGGAGACTTTAAGCCTGAGTTCAAAGTGCCAGGCTCTAGGGGCTAAATGAAAGCCCTTTAACCTTAGGCTTCTGCTCTGCCTCCTGCTCCTGGTCCACTGGAGCTGGAGGCTTTTCTTTACTCGTAAAGCTGCTGACTGCTGAGGCTGACAAGTCCAAGGTCAGCAAGTGAAAAGGCATAGTCCAAGTGTTACCAAACAACATGGCAGGCCATTGATTCAAGTCCACTTAAAGTCCCAAGATCAGCAGAGCATGGCAGGCTGCTGAACAATGACATGGCTACATGCAGGGTTCAAGCATGCCATAAGTTAGAGCCCATCCCCAAAGTTGCTTCTTATATATGGGAAGCAGATCACATCCCTAAAGCAGCTACTCAGATCTACCCCCACCATGGCATTGATTGCCAGTCTTATCATGGGGAATAATGACCACCAGTGGCCTAGCCACTCAACCAGGCCCAGTCAAGTTGACACACAATCTTAACTACCACAGTCCCCCAAGAAAAGGAGATTTAAAAAAAAAAAAAAAAAGGCTATGATTTACAAACATCATAAAAAGAATAAAATTTTTTGAAACATTCATTCTTACCTTGGGAAGTTCCGAAAGTCTCTCTTCATTTGTCAAAGAGCAACTACTTGCACAAGAAACACAGTCTGATATTTCCACAGCACTCTCACCATTTTCAAATTCATCACATTCATTAGCATCGTCCTTATCACTGTCTATCTCCCAGTCGATAAATTGTAGTTCATCTGAAAAATAAATTTTTAACTTGCATTGGGCACAAATTTTACTTTTTCTTTTCAATTTTGTTTGAAATTTAAGTACGTAATATACCTATATCACTTAATAACTTTAACATACATATTAAAAGGTATACAGTGAAGATTATATTCCTACTCTTATCTCTAGCCATCCTGTTTCTCTCACTCTTGCTCCCCAACTCAATTTTCAGTTAATTACTTTTATTAGTTGTTTGTATACCCTTCCACAGTTTCTTCAGCATGTTCAAGGAAAAGAAATATGTATTAATATGTTTTCTTCCTTTATTGTTCACCTTGTTTTCATTTAATACCATAACAGATGTTTTTTCTCATCTAAACAAGGAGTGTCATTATTCTTTACAACACAGTATTCCACTGCACACTTGAGACAGTGTTTACTTAGCCAGTCCTCAATTAATAAAGACTTTTTGAAGCATTTTCATCCAAAACTTTTTTCTGTACCAAATGCACTGATTCTAATCTGCTATGTTTGGAGAAATTATGACAATTATTAAAGATAAATTCGTCTCCAATGGCCTATAATATAAACTTTTCCCACAGTACAAACACAAGTGCTCCCTAACAAATATTTCAGCAACTGACAGGACTAATTAGGTATGTTCACCCTATTTCAGAGGAACGTATCAACAATCTCACTTCTAGAGAGAATATTTAAAATTAAAAACCTATTAGGTTTAATACCTGAAAATTTTTAAGTTTATGATAAACTTTAAAATATGAGATAATATAAATAACAACAAAAGAGAATGTTTTATTTAATGTGATACTGCTGTTCCACAAAGGGTCAAAGTCCACTTTGATGACTACAAAAGACTGGAGGGCAGATCACCCACCATTGAGAGTGAGTGACAGACTCTATAATGACAATTATTTCCCACATCTAACATCACATTTAGTCATAGAATCCAGGCAGGTGAGCACAAAAGAAATTATCTCTATTGCTGAACCATCATAGTAAGAAGACAACAACAAGAGCCAAAGGGCAAAGGAAACAAGTTCCCTCAGAACTCCTGCTTCTACTGCCAGTACTATAGAGTTGTGTAGCATTCACTCACTCATTTGTTAAAATAAGTGCTTAGACAGTAAAAATACCAAATAAAAAAGGAGAAAAAAATACAGAACACAGTTCCTACTCTAGGAAAGCCAGCAGATGAATAAGCACTTAACACTGCAATGTTATGAATGTTGTAAAATGATATACATGACAAGAAGAGTGGCTTTCATTTGATCACAATTATTTTATGAAGTAAGCAAGATA